GTGTGAGAGAGAGAGAGAGAGAGAGAGAGAGAGAGAGAGTGTGTTAGGGGGTATAGAGATGGTACCACTCACTACATTCTCAGTCTTTAATTTTTTTTTTTTTAATTTTGAGGTCGATTCTTACTAAGTTGCCCCAGCTGGCCTCAAACTTGTGATCTTTCTGCTTCCTCCTCCTGAGACACTGGGATTACAAATGTGTACCACCGCTCTGAGCTAGACAGCTTTCTCTTCCATTGTTGCATTACTGGTTCCTTCCAAACCTTCAGGTTTTTACTGAATATCTTTGCCTCAAAAAGACATCCCCCCTCAGCCCCTTGTTTGTCTCTTTCATAATACCTATAATTTCTAATTGTTTTATATATTAAATATTTTCCTCTTTAGAATATAAGCTACAGGAGGGAAGGGATGTACCTGTCTTGATCACTAACAGTGTCTGGTACACAGTAGGCACTAAATAACTAATTGCTGAATGAAGGAAGGATGCTGGTGAACCAACAGAAAAGATCAAAGGAGTTTCAATGTAGCAAGTTAGGAAGCAGTTAACAGCAAATGTACAAAATTCCTTATGGCAAGAAGTGAATATAATGAAAATATGTAATAATCTATGTTGGGTTTTATATATTCATGAATGAAGGCCCTGTGATACATTAGGATACTATAAATATTGGGGAATATTACTATCTTTAGTGGTTTTGATTAGTAGTCATTCTGGCTCTGTTAGCTGGGTTATTTTTAACAGAATACTTCTTTTCCTCTGAAATGGAAACCATGGTAGCAACTACCAAAGCTTTGTGAGACTTCTCTCTCTCACCTCCTCCCTACTGAAAGTTCAACCCACGGGTTCACAGATGCTAGGCAAGTATTGTACTGTTTAGCTACATCCCCAGCCCAGCCCTACGAGATTTAAATGAAACCTGTAAAGTTACTTGTCTAGTGTCTGACACAGCAACAACCTTCAATAAAAGTTAAGTAATTATATGATCAATATAAGGAGATCCCCACCCCACCCAGTGCTGAGAATTGAACACAGGGATGCTTTACCGCTCAGGTACATCTCCAGCCCTTTTTATTTTTTGAGACAGGGTCTCACTAAATTGCCTAGTCTGACCTAGAATTTGCGATCCTCCAAGTAGCTGGGATTACAGGCTTGTGCCACTGCGCCAGGCAGAGGCTTTCTCTTAAAAGATTATGTTTGTGGAGTAGGTAAGTCTTACATAAATGCTCCTTTTATTACTCTTACTCTTCTAATACCAAACTATTGGCTCATCAGGATTGAGCCTAAGGCCTGATGCAAGCTAAGCCCAACCTGTATCATTGAGTCTTTCTTACCTCTTTATCTGCCACTTCCTCCCCATTCTCCTGCAAAACTGCCTACTCATTCATGGAGTCTTGGCTTAAACCCCAAGTTCTCTACGAAGCTCTGTTTGGCACTCAGTCCACCACCATCTCCAAGTTCATTACTAGAGATAGTTCATTTTACTATATCTGGACCTTGAATATAATAACGTTGCATTTATTGTAATAAACCCAAATTATTGTGTTTTCTCGCTATCTGGTCCTTTCCTCTAGACTCGGAGCTTCTGTGGTATACACTTTTTAATCCTAGCATAATCTAGTCCTTTACAGTAAGCACGAGGTTGGCTGCTGAAGAGTTACTGAGCCCCTGAAATATTAAATAGGATAGTGATGACGTCTCCCAGTCCTTATTTGAATGGGACAACAACTCGTACAGAGCTAGTGGTTGTACAACGTGAGATAAGAACAACTAGGCGGCCGAAGCCAGAGTAGGAAATACACCCGCCAGCTCGCGCAGGGAAGGTGGGATGACTGCGCAAGCGCATACCGGAGGCTGGAGGTCCATTCCTCCTGCTGCGAGTGCAGTTCCGGGGCTCGCTGTAACTGGGGCGGGCAGCAGTCGCGGAGCTGACGTCATCACCGTGCGCTGCCACGTCTGCTCAGCTCCGCGGTAATGGAGGCTGAGGATGAGTGCTGACGGGGCTGGGTTCTGGTTCTAGTTTTAGCTCTGCCACTGACTCGGGGTCTAGGTCTGGGTCTGGGTCTAGCGGCCTGAAACCTGGACGCCCTGCTTCAGCCCTCCAGGCGGGGACAGCCTGCATACAGGCAGCTGGCTTGGAGAGCTTTAACGCCGGGAGCTAGTTATCTTGCCTGGGGTCCAGTCTTTAAAGCCACCTCCTCCGCCCAGGGATCCCGCCCCACTGGCCGGGCCTCCTCCATGCGTGAGTATTACCTCGCTGCCGTGTCTGACTGTCCCGGGTCTGCTTTCGTCCTCTCGGGTGGGCGACGGGGACCGCTTTGTCGTCTTCTTTTAGGGGCTGGTCTCTTGAAGTTTGTGGTTTCTCGCCATCTACCTCCCCACATCTCATATTCTCTCTTCTCTCCCAGTGTTCCCCTCATTTTTCTTTCCCTTTTTTTGGTGAGCAAGAACCAGCGACCCCTACACCCAACAGTTTGAATGCTGTTTCTCCCTTGGGTTTGTTAGTGTGCAGCCGAAGGCTGTTAGGAATAGGGAACATCAAATCAATCTGCAGTAGTGTTTTGAAGATCAGGGTTTTTCCAGCGTGTGATTCTTCAGTTTTTGGTTGTACTGTTTTAGGAAACATTTGGTGTTCATATTGGCGGAACTATGATTTTTGCCTTAGTTTGGTGAGGACACCAATTCTTTTCAGTGAGGATCTTTGTTACTTGCCTTATAATCTTGTAATTTCAAAATGACGTTACCCGTTTTCCTGAAGTAGGCATCCACTTGAGTTCATTTTGGTACTTTTGCTCTAACATGTGGAGGAGATACCACTTGAACAATTTACTTTTTTAAAGAGTTTAAGGGCCTATAGGTCCCCTTTTTCCCATCTTCAGCAGTCCTGACAAAACACCATAGAACAGGGAACCCTTTTTTTCCTGATGAAGAAACTAATTTAGACTTTAAATCAATCAAGGTCAGATTACATGTGGTACATGTTAACTCAGAACAGGATCACTTGATAACAAAATCTAATTTTGAGTATGGGTGCTGTGGTGGGGATTGAATATAGGACCTCTAGGACCGCTCACATGCTGGGCTAGCGTTCAACCACTGAACTTCATCCCCAGCCCCAATTATTTTAATTTTGAGATTGGCTTTTCTTAGGTTTCAGCTTCTTGTGATTCTTCTGCCTCAGCCTCCTGAGTATCTGGGATTACAGGGGCACACTGGCTAAAGCCTAACATTATGGACAGTGATGAACTTCCTGTATTTCAAGTTACTTAACCTGAAATATTAAATAGGAAATGTTTAAATTGTGGTCTTGTAAAATTTTACCTGACTGTACTATCTTTCATATGATACAAGTCAACTGACAAAAGAGACAAATTGCAGCTTGCCCAACACTGGACAAAATTTAGGATTCTGACCCATTAGAATCTGAATAGTCTTTTCATTAGAATAAAGTAGGTAATTGACACAGAGAGTGTTTGTTTGAAAATCTGGTTTTACAAGGCCTACTTACTCAGTTTTCTGGTTATTTTGTTACATTGCCAACTTTAAAGATAGTTAACTGATATTTACATTTTTTGTTGTTGTTCAGAGTTGAAACAGGTTGACAACCATTAACGTGGGTTGCAACTACAGGTGGCACTGGAAGCAGACTGGTTCCCGGACATGCCCGGTGGAAGGAGGGGCCCTAGTCGGCAGCAGCTAAGCCGTTCAGCTTTACCTTCTTTACAGACTTTGGTTGGTGGGGGCTGTGGCAATGGAACAGGCTTGAGAAACAGGTAAAGAAGAAATAAAGCTATGCATAATCTGTACTATCCCGTGATCAGTAAGACTAACATAAACATCATCATGGTGTTCAGATACTTGCCTATCAAGCTTTATTCTTTGACACTGAGGTAGAAATTCTGCCTTTTTAAGACGGAAAGCTTAGCATTTTAGCATACTTTGGAGAGAGAGATGATATGGACTCATGAAGTAAACAAAGCCCTATTCTTATGACTGATAATCCAAATTCTAGTCATTACTTTGTGTGTGTGTGTGTGTGTGTGTGTGTGTGTGTGTGTGTGTGTTACTGAGAATCAAACCCAAGGCCTTGCATATAAGTAGGCAAGGGCTCTGCAACTGAGTTTCATTGCCAGCCCTAATCATCACCTTTTTAGCTATTAGAAGAAGGGACAAGTGGATGAAAGTACAGGGCAAATGCGATGGTTTGGAGTCCTTTCCTTTTAGTACTAGCGTTTGAACCCAGGGGCATTCTGCCACTGAGCCCAGCCCTTTTAAAATTATTTTTTTATTTTGAGATGCTGCTTACTAAGTTGCTGAGGCTGGCCTGGAATTTATCATCTTCTGCCTTGGCCTCCTGAGTCTCTGGGATTACAGGCATGTGCCACCACATCTGGCAAATGTGATGGTTTATCTGCTTATTGTCATTATTTTTATTTTTTGAGGGCAAATTAAAATTGACAGCTAACATGAAGTTCTAAAATTATAAGTCAGGGCTGGGGCTGTAGCTCAGCGGTAGAACACTTGCCTTGAACATATTAGGTACTGGGTTTGATTCTCAGCATCACATTAAAAATAAATAAATAATAAATATTTCACTCTCCACTCCAAAATACTTAAAATAAAATAAAATAAATTATAAGTCAGATTTCTTCAAGGGTTTCAAAAATTATTTTGTCAGAAAACTGCTTAATATTAATAAACTGTTAGCTGTAGCCTAAATAAACATCTCAAGATTTGTGTCATGTTATATGAGAATAAAAAATTTGGTCTTTTAATATAAATATATTACAAAGTTCCTAATTTTCAGAAATTAGGATGAACGATTTCTTTTTTGAAGGTATTGAGTATTGACCCCAGGGCTTTGCATTTGCTTAGTTATCACTGAGTTACACCCCAGTCTAAGATGAATTTTCTTTTTTTCTTTTATTTTTTAACAGTACTAAGGATAGAACCCAAGGGTACACTATCACTGAGCTATATCCCAAACCCTTTATATTTTTATTTTGAGATAGGGTCTAGCTAAGTTGATGGGACTAGCTAGCCTTTCACATTTGATCATCTTGCCTCAACCTCTCAAGTAGCTGGAATTAACAGGTATGTGCCACCACACCTGGCAGGATGAATTATTTCTAATCTTATGTGGGGTAACACATCATCATAAGGCTTGATCATGTAGCAGTGCAGCAGTGGGTTCAATCCTGAGTACCAAAAATAAATAAATAAAATTTCAAAATTTCTTTAAACTAGAATTTCAGGGAAAGTTCCACTGAAATAAAAATAAACTAATTTTTTTTTTTTTTTTTGGTATGGTGATGGGAATTGCTTGCATGTAATAGGCAAGCACTTGTCACTGAGCCACACTACCAGCCCACCAGAACAAATTTCAAAGATTGTGTAGAACTAAGGTTATAAAGTCAGGAAGTGGGAGATCAGTCCAAGAAGAAGTATACAAATATGTCAGGAGGGCTTGAAAGATGAAATGATACTAACAGCTCTGAAAATTAAATTGAGATGAAAAAAACTCTGTTTAGGGAGGAAGTAGAAAATAGCTGGCAAAAATTTCTTGTTCATACAATTGATCAGTGCATTGCTGCACTATTATATGATCAAGGTCTTAGTGAGACTCTGCCTCAAAATAAAATGAGCAGGGGGTATAACTCAGTGGTAAAGCACCCCTGGGTTTAATCCCTGGTGCCCCTTCCCTCTTCTTTAACATATAGTGTTTTAAATTATTATTATTATTTTTGGTACTGGGGATTGAACTCCTGGGCATTTAAACACTGAGCCACATTCTCAGCCCTTTTTTGTATTTTATTTAGAGTCAGGGTTGAGACCCTGAGTTGCTTTGGGCCTTGCTAAGCTGAGAGTCTGCTTTGAACTTGGGATCCTCTTACCTCAGCCTCCTGAGCTGCTAAGATAACATAATTCTTTTGCAATTAATTTGAGATTGTGTGTGTGTGTGTGTGTGTGTGTGTGTGTGTAAGAACAAATATTTCAACTGATTAAAGTGTTCATAGTTTGAAAAATTGAGACTTTTATTGAATGATTATTTTGTAACATGTTTACCTTAAGAGATTATTTTGGAAAAAAGTTTCTGTGTGGTTTTTGTTTGTTTGTTTCTGGTACTGGAGATTGAACTCAGGGCCTTAAATATGCTAGGCAGGTACTGAGCTACATTCCCAGTTTTGTTTTGTTTTTAACTTTATTTTGAGACTAGATCTTGAAATTGCCTAATCTGGCGACAGATTTTCGATCCTTCTGCCTGAATCTCTTGAGTAGTTAGATTACAGGAGTGTGCCATGCCCAATTTCTATTTCTTTTCTTTTTTGTTCTTTTTAGAATATCTTTGTTTCTTTTTGTGGATGTGTGTGGAGAGATACTAGGGATTGAACTCAGGGGCACACAACATTGAGCCACATCCTCAGCCCTTTTTTTTTTTTTTTTTGTATTTTATTTATAGACAAGATCTCACTGAGTTGTTTGTGTCTTGCTTTTTGCTGAGGCTAGCTTTGAACTCAATCCTCCTGTCTCAGCCTCCCAAGCTGTTGGGATTACAGGCATGCACCACCATGCCCAACATATCTTTGTTTTTTGATGAGATGGAATTGGCTGGATTGGTTGGAATAGGTTATTGTATAAAACCTGGGGTAGAGATATAAAAATATATAAATAAAGGAAATGTTAGATAGCTTAGAATATAGCTTTAGAAAAAACGTTTACAAAGAAAGTGTGTCCATATGAGAGAAATCACTTTTGGAGTATCTGTAGGGTAGTGAAGAAAGAAATTGAGTTTCTTAAAAATGGTATAATTTTGATATATTTGATTCTGCATGACATAGCCAATTGGAGAACAAAGCATTTGCCCCTGGTTGCCTGTTTGGTAGATTTTGTGGCCTAATTGGTAAAGTGGTGAAGTTAAACTTGAGAATGTTGAGGAGCTACTTTGAAAGATTGAATTCCAAAAGTTGCCTGTTGTATTTTCTACCTTTGGGGAATAGGGCATTGTTGTTCATTTGTTTTTTTCATTCTTTTTTTTTGGGGGGGGGGTTCTATAGATTAAAGCTGGTGGCTCTCTACTACTGAGTCATACCCCCAGATTTATTTATTTGGTACTGGAGATGGAACCACAGAACTTTACCACTGAGCTATATCCCAATCTTTTTTGAGACAGGGTCTCATTAAGTTTCTGAGGCTGGCATCGAATTGGGATACGTCTGCCTCAACTTCCCTAGTTGCTGGGATTACAGGTGTGTGTCATCATGCCCAGCCAGGATTTGTTTTTGCAAATGTTCTTAGATAACATGTCTTTTTAAAAAAGAAAGGTGTAGCTGATGGTACACAATTATAATCCCAGGTATTCTGGAGGCTGAGGCTGGAGGATCATAAGTTTTGAGACCAAACTAGGTAACTTAGTGAGACCCTGTCTCAAATTAAAATAACAAGTGCTGGTGATAATAGCTCAGTTATAGAGTGCTCTTGGTTTCACTCCCCAAAGCTTAAAAAAAAAAAAAAGTACTGTGTTTGTGAGTTTCATAGAGAGTTCCTACAGGGAGATTTTTACTTGTTTGAAGTTTTGTTTGTTTAGTCCTTGCATATATTTTCTGATAATATCACCAAACATGTCCAAATACCACTGTTTTCTCTGTCTCTTCTAATTTCTCTTTATCCCTTTGAATCTTTTTTTAAAAATATTTTTATAGTAGTTGAACATAATTCCTTTATTTTATTTTTATGTGGTGCTGAGGATCAAACCCATTGTCTCAAATGTGTTAGGCAAGTACTCTACCAACTGAGCTATCACCCGGGTAAATCTTTGAATCTTTCTTGCTTTATCCATTTGCATACTTAAATTGTGCTGCTCATGACTCCATAAGGACCAGTCTAAAGCCTGCTGCAAGGATAAAGCAGATGTCCAGTATAAACCACCATTTTTTATATAGTTCATCCACAGTGACCCATTCTTCTTTTTGGGTGTCTAGTACTGGAAATTGAACTAGGGTCACTCTACTACTGAGTAACATCCCCAGCCCTATTTTGTATTTTATTTAAAGACAGAGTCTCACTGCGTTGCTTAGCACCTTGCTATTGCTGCAGTTGGCTTTGAACTTGAGATCCTCCTGCCTAAGCCTCCTGAGCTGCTGGGATTATAGGTGTGCACCACCATGCCCTGTTGACCTGTTCTTATTTTAAGGAAAATTTTATATCAATGGAAGGAACTGTTCCCAGATGCAAGCCTTGTAAGCAGGGCTTTTTAAGGAAAGCTACACTGAATACCTTCCTTCTTTGGGGAGTCTAGAATTTGTATTGGTAGGAAAGGATGCCTATGTAATCAGCCTTCACAATAAAAACCTTCTAATGAGCTTTCCTGGTGGACAACATTTCAAATGTGTAGTCACAACTTGTTGCTGTTTGAATTAAGTGCATCCTGAATAGATTCTTGGATCTATTTTTATAACATGTTAGAAAAATAATATTTTTTCTAAATAATACTTCTGTAACTATTTTTTTGAGATATATATTGGTCAACTCTGTTTAAAAGTTTAATTTTTTATTGACTCAGTAATTATACCTAAATGGAATATAGTATGATATTTTAATACATGTAGGCATTGTGTATTTATTCACTTATTTGTTTATTTAAAGAACTTTGATATTTTCCCTCTCCAGCTTTGAACTTTATCAGTTAGATGGAGAACACTTAATCTCATCAGTTATCTTTACATAGGCATGATTTCTTTTTTTCCAACTGGTGCTTTGAATCACTTTGTTTGACCTATGTCTGTTTGGTCTTCTGGCTTCAAGTTTAATAGCCAAATTTATAGAGTGTATTACAAGTGTAGAGCTTTTGTACATTTGTTTTGATTATATTTTTTTAATTCCAGTATTTTGTTGAGTTTGTTAATGGCAGAAGCATGTATGTTCCAGAAAGCAAGTCTGCTTTACGTGGAAACATTTTTATAATCTTTTTTTAAACTCTTAAATCATAACAGAGAGCCAGGTATGCTGGCGTATGCCTATAATCCCAGCTACTCAGGAGGCTGAGGCAGGAGGATCACAAGTTTGAGGCCAACCTGGGCAACTTAAAGAGACCCTGTCTCAAAATTTTAAAGTGGGCTGGGGTGTTGCTCAGCGGCAGAGCTTGCCTAGCATATGCGAAGCCCTGAGTTCAAAAATTATGACAGTTTATCATACTTTCCTTATTTTTTCCCTATTTTTTTCCTTATTTTTTGACTGAAGTTGAATAAGATTTTTAGTTTGTTTAGATTGGAGGCTTTTAACATTGTAACATCTCATCAGAAATTTTTATTTCAGTATCTTACAGTTAACTGGAGTGAGGCAGTAGATTGGCTGCTGGCATTAATCCTGTGCATTCAAGTCATAGTATTCTTAACTATTCAGAATGAGCAGAGCTCATATTCCCATGAGTTGCTTAAAGTACTATAAGTCCCACATACCCACGCTAGAATTCTATATTTGGAAATTTTAGAGAAGAAAGTAATGCTACTATTGTTCCTTATCTTAAATATGTTTTTTTAGAGTCGGGTTTACTGGAGATTGAACCTCGGGGCACTTTACTACTGAGCTGCATCCCAAGTCCTTTTTATTTTTTTCTTTTGAGACAGGGTCTCAGTTGTTGAGACTGACTTTAAACTTACAATCTTATCTCAGCTTCCTGAGTCACTGGGAATTGAGTCTACTTTCCTTGTTGTATAAACAATAGTAGACCTTAGATCTCTGAAACTATCCTGTGCATATAAACAATAGAAAGTTTATTCTTTATCCCTATCTGTCACTTCAAATAGTCTAGCTGTTTCTGGCCTATAAGTGAGCTTAGAAGAAAGAACAAAATAGGGATTAATACTTCTATATGTTTGTTTTTGTGTTAAGAGTTGTCTGTTTTTCATGAGTGCATTGGTCTTTTGCTGTCTCAACCTAAAAGTATATATTTGCAGTGAACTAAGAAAAGTAGTTTCTGGCCTTAGGTTTATGGTCTGATAGCCAAGTTATAGATGTGTACAAAAATTATGTTATAGTATGAAAAGCGCAATAATAAAGACTTTACACATATATGATGGTGGCACAAAGGAGAGATGAATAAGTTTGAGGGAGTCGGAGTAAGCTTCACAGAGGATGTGTTTGAAGAGCTGAAGAGCCATTTATTTATTTAGTTTTTGTGTGTGTGCTCATGGTACTGGGAATTGAACCCAGAGCCTCATACATGCAAGCATTCTACCACTAAGCTGTACCCCCAAACCCCTTAAAAGTTTTGAATAATGAGTGAAAAAAGGTTTGGAGTGATTTTTTCAGTAAATGTGTGTGTGAGAAGTTAAGGAAAGTATAATTATGGGGGATATTTCATTTCAAGGGAATAAAAGTGCACAGTAAAATAGAACATATGTTCTAGACAGCACGTAGCATGAGTATCGTAGGTGCATGTGGAGGAGTGATATGTGGGGAGACTACTATGTTAAACAGAGGGCTTCATAGAACATACTCAAAAGTTTTTTGATATTATCCTAATTGCAGTAAAGAGAGGAGGAGAGTAACACTGTTATGCCAGGCGAGCACTCTACCACTGAGGCTCTGAGTTTAATCCCCAGCACAACAACAAAAAACAAACAAAAACAGTAAGAATAAGACAGTAACACTACCAGTTTCACTTTAGAAAGATCCCTAAGGGCAGCTTGGTGGGTTTGGTGAAGATAGAGTTGAATTTAGGAGGATTACTGCCAGTAATTTAGATGAAAATTGGTGAATGCTTGAACTGAAACAGTGGATTGAGAAGGGAGGATACAGTTGAAGAAAATTTTGTGAAATAGGATTCAATTCTTTATTTTTCTTTTTGCAGTAGTGAGGATTGAACTCAAGGGTAATTTACCACTGAGCTACATTCCCAGTTTTTGTTTGTTTTGTTTTTCATACCAGGGATTGAACCCAAGAGCCTTAACAACTGAACCACATCCCCAACCCTTTTTTATATTTTATTTAGAGGCAGGGTGTCACTGAGTTGCTAAGTGCCTCTCTAAATGGCTGAGCATGGCTTTGAACTTGCAATCATCCTGCCTTAGACTCCTGAGTAACTGGGATTTTAGGCAAATGCCACTACGCCTGAGTTGAATCCAGTTCTTTAGAAAGTGATTGGATATGGAGTGGAAGAAGAAATGTTCTAGGATCCTGATTTGGGCTGCTAACAGGGTGGGCCACGAACTAGGGTTAGGACTGTCGGAGGAGGAACACAGATGTCTCGAAGGTAGTTGCATAATAGGGGTCTAAAACTCTGCTGTGATATAAAGATAAATTTTATTTTTCAGTATGCCTAAGATAATGAAAATCATGGTTGCATCTTAGATCATTGAGACAATATGTAGAGGAAGGATCCCAGAGTAGAGTCTTGGAGAGGCCATCAGTTAAGGTTAGGTAGTGGAGATAGAAGGGGCTCTTTGCTCTGACATGAAGGATATCACCATTTGAGTTTACCATAGTTTTCTCTTTCAGGAATGGTAGCACTATTGGCCTTCCAGTTCCACCTATCACAGCCTTAATCACCCCAGGTCCTGTGCGTCATTGCCAAATTCCTGACTTGCCTGTGGATGGGAGCCTGCTTTTTGAATTTCTTTTCTTCATCTACCTTTTGGTTGCTCTGTTCATTCAGTACATCAACATCTATAAAACCGTGTGGTGGTATCCTTACAATCATCCTGCCTCTTGTACTTCACTGGTAAGTCGTCATAGGCCTCTAAATTTTTTATGTCACTCAGGTAAATTTTGTTCTTAATAATTTTTTTTCTAAAAACTGGTTTTCTAATAAACATCAGATTACTTTTTAGAAATAAAACTTCATGATAAGATTGTTGAAGTATAAATCAAAATGCAGAAAACATTTAAATAATTTATTGTAATAATATTGCAGAAAAGTTTCCATATCTAGCTTTCTCTATCCCATGTTAAATTTGAACTATATACTTTATCCATCCTTGGCTAGAAGTTAAATTTGTTTAACATGGGATAGAGAAAGTGTAACATGTAATGTTAACTTGTCATTATGATTAAATTCTAGCAGCTTTACCTTTTAAATGACTGAATTAGGATAATGGTAGCTTCTATAACAAATAAGCCAAAAATTGTATAATGTTTCTAACATATAACAGTCTAGACAGTTGTCCTGGTTGGTAGGAATTCTTCCATGTGGTCAGTCACGGGACCCAGGGTGGTAAAGACTGCTATTTTCTAACATATGGCCTTTAAGGTGGCTGTAGTTCATTACTATCAGCCATAAAGGTAAAAGAGCATAGGGCATTTATAAAGGAGAGTTTCTTACAGTTCAGGCTCCCATCATTTCCATATGTCCACTCATAACTATAAGAGAAGCTAGAAAATATTGTACTTTAACTGGGTGCATTGTTAACTTGAATGAAATTGAATTCTTTTACAAAATAAAATTGAGATGGAAACTAGCTATTTCTGAAGAACTTAAAAAACATGTTGTAGGTTTCTTCTGGTTTCTCTTCATTTATATAGGAGAGCCCTGGTAATCTTTTTTTTTTTAAATATTTTTAATCAGTTTTTCTATAACTTTATTTTACTTATTTATTTTTTAATGTGGCACTGAGGATTGAATCCAGGGCCTCGCACGTGCTAGGCGAATGCTCTACCACTGAGCCACTACCTCAGCCCTGGCCCTGATTATCTTGATACAAAGAAGGTTCTCCATAGATGAGCATATAAAATATCTAAAAGGCTAGTCAGATGACTTACATGTATGTGATTGGCAATGGCAGATTTGGATGGGTGATAGAGATATTCTTTGGGGCAAAGAGTACTTTTGTTCTGAACATTTTGTATGTGTGTTTGGGACTCACAAAAAATCTGAAAACCTTTCTAATGTGATAGACATAGAAAAGGAAATGTGGTCCCAAATCTTCAAGATAATATGAGAAAGGAGTTGGGCATGGTGGTGCATTCCTGTAATTCTGGCAACTCAGGAGACCAAGGCAGAAGGATTGTAAATTCAAGGCCAGCCTCAGCAACTGTCTTAAAATAAGAAATAAAAAGGGCTGGAGATGTAGTTGTAGTAGAGCACTCCTGAGTTCAATACTTGTGTCACTTGATTGTTCCTAGGATTAGCTATTAAGACTTTTCTTTCTGCTGAAATACATAAAAATATGTTGTAGGTTTTTTTTTTTTTCTTTTAATGTACTTTAAAAAGAAAAGTGTTAAGTTAATTTCAGGAACAACCAAGTGATATTAAGTATTGATCACATATATACTTAATATGTGATTAGAGTCTCTGTTTCTTTAAGAATTGTAATGACTTAGTGCCAGATTTATTTTTATTTACATATATATATATATATATATTTATGTATTTTTCCCCCTACCTGGATTGTAAGTTTATTGAGTATAGAAACTATATACTTCATTCATCCTTGACTAGAAGTAGTTTTTTGCAAGGGAGTTTGGGCAAGGAACCCAAGGAGGCAGTGCCTTGTTAAATTCTACTATGATGGTAGAAGAAACAAGTAATAATCTCTACCATTTCCATTGCCAAGAGAAAAATAACCTTGATTTTTGTTTGAGACTAGTACCTGGCTGGGCCCATAATATCAGCAACTGGGGAGGCTGAGATAGGAGGATCATGAGTTCAAAGCCACCCTCAGCAAAAGGAAGGCACTAAGCAAGTTAGTGAGACCCTGTCTCTAAATACAATAGAAAATAGGGCTGGGAATGTGGCTCAGTGGCCAAGTGCCCCTGAGTTCAATCCCTGGTACCCCCCCACCCCCCCAAAAAAAAGAAGAGTACCTGGCATATTTAGTTTATTGAATTAATTAATTGAAAAATTCAGGTTTTCATTTGGGAAGAAAATGTAGAAACCTGCAAGCCCTTTGACCATCAAGAGGAAAATATATCTCGATTTCATTGGTTTCTAAGATATTATTACTAACGATTTTGTTTGCTATTATCACAGTTTTATATATATGTATGTGTATACATATATTTATATGTGTATATATATGTATATATGTATACACACACGTATGTATAACAAAGGAACTATATATGACATCTAAGTAATGGTTTAATTTTATAGAGGAGATCAAATGTAAGGCATATTTTTAAATAATTATAAAGATTAAATAAATATAATTGATGTACCAACTAGTAGTTTAGTTGATGCACAGTTAGACTAACATAAGTTTGAATAAAGAAACAACCACAGTAACTCCTAAAAACTATGAATCCTGACTGATTTAATTTGACACATAATAAATCAGTTAGTTTAGATGAATTATTATTGTCATAATACTTTGGGTTATGACTTGTTAACTCAAATCTATCTTTTTCTTTTAATATAGTAGAGTTTCAAAAAAAAGGATAGTAATACTTTCTAGATAGTCTAAAACAGTGTTTGGAAAGTCTAAGCAATAAGTCACAAAAGGAGAGGTGCAAGGTAGGCAGTCTCTTTATGATCTCTCAAATTTCTGTGTTCTGTAAGGGTAGGATGAACTAAGGAAGATCTTTTGAGGGAGCAAACCTCTGTTTGTGTAGTAGTTCAGCTTGATAAACATTGTATTTCTTTTTGATGACATTCTTTGTTTCTTTTATAGAATTTTCATCTCATTGATTATCACCTGGCAGCGTTCATCACGGTGATGCTCGCAAGGAGGCTTGTGTGGGCCCTCATCTCTGAAGTAAGTTTATTCACTGTGTTCTCCTACTTGTTGTAACTTGTAGTTACTAGAAAGGGTTTAGACTGAAAATGTAAAATGTCCAATATAATTTGAAAACAACTTTAAATTAATTTCTTTATTCCTATGTGAGTTGTGCCAATACTTTATTTATTTTTTTAAAGAGAGAGTGAGAGAGGGAGAGAGAGAAAGAGAGAGAATTTTAATATTTATTTTTTAGTTATTGGCGGACACAACATCTTTGTATGTGGTGCTGAGAATCGAACCCGGGCCGCACGCATGCCAGGCGAACGCACTACCGCTTGAGCCACATCCCCAGCCCTGTGTGCCAATACTTTAAAAAAAATGGTTTCCTGCAATATATTTAAAATTCAAAGGTGCAATAACTCAAGAACTATTAGATATTGAATTTGTAGGAGTTTAATTTAAATTTCTGGATTTTGGGGCATAATTTTTTTAATTTTAATAGTTCTAGGGAAATAGGATAAATTCAATTTTAGATAACATTCACTTGAAATGGTTTAAATGTCATTTGTGAAATTTCCTAAAAAAAAAACATTTGTAGCCAAGTGAGGTGGTGCACACCTGTAATCCCAGCAACTTGGGAGGCTGAGGCAGGATGATCACAAGTTTGAGACCAGCCTCAACAATTTAGTGAAGCCCTAAGCAACTTGGTGAGATCTTGCCTGAAAATAAAAAATAAAATGGGCTGGGGATGTGGCTCAGTGAAAGTGCCCCAGGTTGATTGGTTTGTATTTATTAAAACTTAGAATTTAAATTTATTAAAAGTTAAAATTTTTAAAAGGCAATGTTAAAATTTGCCTAGGAGTAATCACAAGATTAGAAAATAAGTTTACTGGACAGAGGAGGAAAGATTTGGAACATTAAATTATTTTATTAATTTAAAAGTTGCTGGTAGATTTGGCTTTGGGTATCATTTTTCATATAAACTCCAGCGAGAGAGAAAAATGTACTTTCATAAGATTTTATATATTGTACCCTATAAGTGTTTATGAAAACAAAAATGTTAACTTAGCTAAAGCAGCTAATAATTTGAATCTTGGAAATTATATTTCAGTTTGAAATTTTTAAATGAATAGTTACTGTAATGAAAATCGAGAGTTTACTTTTTCTTCCAAAACATACACAGAAGCCTTTGTGAGTATAAGCTCTGATTCCTGTGATTACAGATAATTGAAGATGTTAAGTCATGATCTAAAAGCCATTAAGATAACTGGAAAATAGTGGTAGTATTGGTAGAGAACTGTTTCTCCTGGTAGGAAAGGATGTAACTCAGCCTTTCTCTCAGGTTCAGTATTTAGGTGATGAAAACAGGTACTTATTTTTGGATATATTGAGAAAGAACTTTCTTTAGAAGAATAGAATGGATTTGTTGTTTACATCTGTTAAAACAGGCAGGAAATTATTATGTTTCATCTCTTCAGTTGCTTAGAAATGGTATTGGCATAAGTCAGTTTAGTTGCTTCATGTTAATGTGTAAACCCTTCATAACTATAGTTTCTACCTTGTTGCTACAAAGTCTATAACTTGAAGCATTTTATTGCCTTTGAGTGTGTGTATGGTACTAAGGATTGAACCCAGGGCCTAGTGCATGCTAGGCAGGTACTCTACCATTGAGCTACATCCCCGGCCTTTTTTATTCTATTTTGAGATAAGATTTCATCAAGTCACTCGAGCTGGTCTCAAACTGTGAATTTCTTGACTCAGCCTCCCAAATTGCAGGAATTACAGGTGTGCATCACTGCACCTAGCTTCCTACTTTATTTTAAACACTGTTTAAAAAGCATTTTGTTTGCTGGATGTGGTGGTGTACACCTTTAATCCCAGCAGCTCAGGAGGCTGAGGCAGAAAGATAAATTTGCTAGCTTCAGCAACTTAGTGGTACTCTCAGTAACTTAGTGAGATCTTATCTCAAATTTAAAAATAAGAACTAGGTATGTAGCTTAATGGTAAAGTGTCCCTGGGTTCAATCCCCAGTACCCCCCCCTCCATAAAAAGGCAGATAGAGGGAGCAAAATGTATTTGTTTATATACAAATAACTTGTCCCTGGAAAGAGATATGGAGTAATAATGGACTGCTGGTGGCTGGGAGACAGGAGCAGCATGAATCACTACTAGCACTCTAGGATTTGTCTTTTGAGTGATGTGGTTATATTATCTATTTGAAAATTTAAAATCAGCTATATAGTGATTCTTTCCTAATATATCTAAATTAAATTATTAAACCCGTCATAATCTTTTTTTTCCTTCCATTAAAATATGTTTGCATTCTTATATCACAGAAAAGATTGTGACCCTGAGAAAGACCTTTTTTTGGGGGAGGGTACCAGGGATTGAACTTAGGGGCACTTGACCACTGAGCCACATCCCACCCCTATTTTGTAGTTTATTTAGAGACAGAGTCTCACTTTGTTGCTTATGCCTTGCTATTGTTGAGGCTGGCTTTGAACTCACAATTTTCCTTTCTTAGCCTCTAAAGCCGCTGGGATATTATAGGCATGTGCCACCATGCCTGATTGAGAAAGACCATGTTTTAAGGAGAGCTGGAGGTAATTAATTTGAAAGATAAATATTCAGCTGGAGAATTCAGCTGGACAACCACCTCTCTGCCTAGCTAGACTTTTGTTTATTCACCTCCTAGCTAACACTGCTTCTGTGTACTTTCTACACAAGACTAAAAATAAATCCAACTATTTTACCAACTTGAGGCAACTCTCTTAAAAAAAAAAGTTTTTATTTTATTTTATTTTTATTTGTTTGTTTGGTATGGGGTGCTTTACCCCAGCTACATTCCCAGTCCTTTTTTCTTTTGAGATAGTGCCTCACTAAGTTGCTGAGGCTGGCCTTGAACTTAAGAACCTTCTACCTTAGCCTCCTGAGTTGATGGGAATACAAGTGTTCCCTAGCACACCTTTTGTATTGTTTTTCTAATACAAAAACAGTATATTTTATTGAAAAGATTAAGATTGTTAGACACTAGAATGTAAAGCAGAAAATTGAAAATTACAACTTCATTACTGAGAATCACATTTTTGGTTTTATTTCCTTCTAATGTGTGTGTGTATATATATATATGTGTGTGTATATATATATATATATAAAAGATTTATGTACATATATATTTAAATGTATTTATTATAGTATTATGAATAATTTTCTAACCTGACTAGCTCTTATTTGTCTTTTAGGTTTCAAAACAAATATTGCTTTCTAAAGAAAGCCTTCCCAAGTAGGGTCTCCTATTACTTATTCTCCTGATAACTTACGCTTTTCCTGTAACACTCATCACATTATAAAAATAATTGTCCAAATTTAAGTTTAGTATGTGTTTTTCTTGGCTGGGTAGCTTCATAAAGATAAGTTCTTATTTGTCTTGGTTACCACTGTATCGCCAGGGTCTGTCACATATAGCACAGTGAGTGGTTAAAGAATGTAGGTTCTAGAATAAGACAAAATCAAACTCTGCTGCTCTGCTGGCATGGAGCAGAAACAGTCTTTTATTTCTAACCTTGTACTTTTGAGAATAGAAGTAATAGAATAACTCCAGGGCTTACGTAACTTCCCTAGACTTTAAAATACAAGGTACATTGGTATGAGGTACCTATCAGGGGAGTGATATAGAACTATTTGCCATGCTGTGACTGAGAACAGCTTGGGTCTTTTTCATAGTTTGAGGCTTAAGCAGTTTATTATGGTATTTGTTTAACTGCTTCACATTTTGAAGTACCCATATATACTATGTGTCTCTATAGTTTGTATTATCCCCCCCCACACACAAACAGTCATGTGTCACCTAACTATAGAGACAAGAAAGACATCACTAGGTGATATCCTCATTGTGCAAACATCATAGAGCATATTGACACAAACCTGGATATCATAACTTAATCATTCCTTGTGGCCTCTTGATGTGATCAAGAGCTGTGGTAAATGCAAGCTGTGTAAATTTGCTGCCAGAGTTACACAGTATGGTGTTTTATAGTAAACTTTTTTTTTTTTTTTTTAGTGTATTAAAAATATAGTAAGTACATAAACAAGTAATAGTAATAGGCAACTATAGTTGTTTGTTTCATTATCAAGTATTAAGTACTTACTATATAGGACTGGAAACACAGTAGGTTTGTTTACACCAGCATTACCACAAACACATCAGTAATAGTATGTGCTTTGATGTTATGGCAGCTGTGATGTCACTAGGCAAGAAGAATTTCCAGCTTTATTTAATCATTATTTATTTTTATTTATTTATTTATTTTTTTGAGATGTGGTGTTACTTATGTTGTCCAGGCTGGCCTCTGACTCCTGGGCTTGAATGATCCTCCTGCCTTAGCCTCTGAGTAGCTGGGATTGCAGGCATGTGCTGTGCAACAGGCTCTCCCTGTAGTTTTATGGGACCACAAGTTTTATGGTGGATTTTTTTTTAATATTTTTATTCTAATTTGTAAGTTTTATGTTTTGACAAATATATTTTCTTACTATATTTGGTCGGTTTTAAAGATTTAGGATTTAAGAAGAATATTTGAGAGATGATATAAAGAATTAGAAGTATTTATACATTATTTTATTTTTAATTTTTTTAGTTATAGATGGACACAATATTTTATTTTTATTTATTTATTTTCAATGTGGTGCCGAGGATTGAACCCAGGGCCTCACACATGCGAGGCAAGCACTTTACCACTGAGCTACAACCCCAGCCCTACACATTATTTTTGTATGTGCAAAAGTTAAACATATAGAGGTCTGTCAAAGAAGATGTGATTATTTTGTAAAATTTTTGTAATATTTTAAACGTCAACTCAGCAAGCAGATTAGAGGTGAGAATTCAAAGAAAAATAGAAGTACTCTTGCTGCTATTGAGGCCCTTGGCATTCTGGTAGGAAGTAAGGTAGATAAATTATTGGCTCTCCATCTGTATATACATACAAATGGCCTGAGAGATTGTTAAAATATAGATTCCTTGACTCAAATTTTTTTCCCCTCCATTCAAAGAGAAAAGTTGTTAGGGACTTACATGTTCATAAGCAACTCAAGTGATTCTGATGACTGGTCCATGGACCATACTTTGATGAGAAACCCTAGTGAAAACAAATTAGATGATAATGATGAAAAGTTAAAGCAGGTCTGTGTGGGTACAAGGAGGAGATGACTAATTGCCTGGAGAAAGTTGAATTTTCAAGAATTAGGAAGATAAGGTGGGATGAAACAGTTTTCTTTTTCTTTTCTTTCTTTTTTTTTTTTGATATAGTTTAGCTTCCATTTAAACCTACTACCCTTATTTATGTTACATTGCTTTTAAATAAGATAATTTATAAAATTTACCTTTGGTGCTTCTAAACTTTCAGGCCACCAAGGCGGGTGCAGCATCTATGATTCACTACATGGTTCTGATATCAGCTCGCTTGGTGCTTCTCACTTTGTGTGGATGGGTACTTTGTTGGACCCTAGTCAATCTCTTTCGAAGCCATTCAGTACTTAATCTCCTCTTCCTTGGCTATCCGTGAGTACTCCTGTTTTGCAATTAACAAAACTTTAGAAGTTATTTGGGTCATGCAAATAATACTATATAAAAAAAAGGGAAAATTAAATTCTTCAAATATAAATTAAGAGTTTAAAAAATTTGAAAACTAGTGGATATGATAGCCATATAATTTGTTTTCTAAACTAGATTAGTTGAGACAACAGACATAAACTAGAACTATCCTAGGGAAACTGAGAAGTATGGCTGTCCTACCAGTGGAGAGGTTGTGATACTGGGGATTGAACCCAATAGTGCTTTACCACCAAGATACATATCTGGCCCTTTTTTAATTTTAAATTTACAGGGGCTGGGGTTATGGCTCAGCGTAGAGCACTCACCTAGCACGTGCGCGGCCCTGGGTTCGATCCTCAGCACCACATAAAAATAAACAAAATAAAGGTATTGTGTACAACTAAGAAATAAATATTAAAAAAAATTAAAATTTACAGTGCCTCACTAAGTGGCCTAGGCTGACCTTGAATTTGTAATCCTCTTAGACTCCCGAGTCCTTGAGATTACAGGTGTGCTATAGGTGTGTACATTTGTGTCATCTAGTGGAAAGTATTTATTTATTTTATAGTACTGGGGATGGACTCAGGGCCTCATGCATGCTTGCCAAGCACTCTGCAGAGTTACATACCATGTCCTTTTGAAATTTTGAGACAAGGTCTTGCCAAATTGCCCACGTTGGCCTTGAATTTGGGATTGGACTGCCTCATCCTCCTGAGTAGTAGGATTATAGGTGGACACTAACACACCTATCGAGAATATTTTAATTGAGCTCTAATTAAGTTTAATAGGATTACCATCATCAAAATGGCTAGCAGTCTTTTTCAATTTAAGTATATAAAGAAATAAATTATTATTATTATTATTATTTGGTACTGGGGATTGAACCCAGGAATACTTAACCACTGAACCACATCCCTAGACTTTTTTATTTTTTACTTTGAGATATGGTTTCATTAAGTTGCTGAGACTGGTTTTGAACTTGGAATCCTCCTGCCTCAGCCTCCCAAGTTTCTGGGATTACAGGCATGCCTCACTGTGCCCAGCATTTATAGTTTAAATTGTAATGAGGGTCCAGGCACAGTGGTGCACACTTGTGTTTTCATTGACTTGGAAGGCTGAGGCAGGAGGATCACAAGTTCTGGGCCAGCATACATACCTTAGCAAGATCCTATCTCCAAAAATAGAGCTGATGATGTTGCTCCGTGGTAAAACACCCCTGAGTTAAATTCTTAATACCAAAATAATAATAATAAGGGAAGGTAGAACAAGAAAAAATAATAATCCCAGAATAAAAAACCTAATAAACATGTATGGAGTGGTAAAATCTGTGGAGAAAAATAACTGCAAAAGGAGAGTGCTTTGAGGAGTGGGGTAAGTGATACACAGTTTGCAGGCAGGAGAGCCCCTCACTATGGAGACATTTAAGTTGAAGGGCAAGCCATATCAAAAATTTCTAAAAATACACAAAGATCCACATTAGGAGAATACTTGTCATGTTATTTATGCTAGTGGAAAATAAGAAACAACTTTTTTTTTTCTGGGCTGAGATGTAGCTCAGTGATATAATACTTATCTAGCATGTGCAAGGCCTTGGGTTTGCTCTCCATAAAAAATGTCATGTGAAACCCACAGAAACAGAATGTTTCTATCAAGTGAGAAATGGATAAATTATGTATGTCAATATATGAATCCTATAATGTTTTTAAAAGTTCTTACAGAAAAATATTTAGACATAAGAAAATACCCATTGTATACACACAAGGTGAAATAGCAAGATGCAAAACAGTTTGTACTATATGAGATCAAATACATAAAAGACGAAAGCATACATGACTATATATAAAGTTTATATGTTGGACAAATGTGTACCCACTAATAAAAATGATTATTTCTAGGTAGTTTATATTTTGTAATTGAAACTTTTTTATTTTCCTCTTTTGCAATGAATATGTACTGCTTTTGTTGTAAGAAATGGAAGACTTTCCTTCTCAGACAAGGAATTTACCCTCGGAAAGTTCCTATTATGTTTACTCTGGTGCATCAAGACTATTATATTGACATAATTATACAGTGTTCTTAGGTGTTTTCTGTGGTATTATTTTCATATTTACCTTGTCTTACAGGTTTGGTGTTTATGTTCCTCTCTGTTGTTTCCACCAAGATAGTAGAGCTCATCTTCTTCTCACAGACTATAACTATGTGGTACAGCATCAGGCGGTAGAGGAAAGCGCCTCAACTGTGGGTGGCTTGGCCAAATCCAAAGACTTCCTCTCCTTATTGCTGGAGTCTTTAAAAGAACAGTTTAATAATGCGACACCCATCCCCACCCACAGCTGCCCCCTATCTCCAGATCTCATTCGAAATGAGGTAGAATGTCTGAAAGCCGATTTCAACCACAGAATCAAAGAAGTTCTCTTCAACTCCCTCTTCAGTGCCTACTATGTTGCATTTCTCCCTCTGTGTTTTGTGAAGGTAAGCAGATATTTTGCTTTGTGTGCTCCCTGGATTGTGTGTGAATTAAATAAACTGGGTATTTCTTGTTTAATCCCCCTTTTCTCTGTCTCCCCTTTGGCAGCCTGGATGGTGGAGTTCGGCTGCATCTGGAGTGCACTAAAACCGCTCCTGGTTGGCGGATAGGTATTTCCGTATATGTGATGCACCCCGTGGTGGTCCCCTCTTTCTTTTTTTCCTTTTTTTCCAATTTTTTTTCTTATTTTCTTTTCTTTCTTTCTTTCTTTTTTTTTCTTTTTAGTTTCCGGGGAGAGTAAAGATTATAATTATTATAGGAAAAAATATGTAGAAGCTTAAGAGAACCAAGGATTCAATAAAATCCAGGTTATTGTGATTGATCTAACAGGGTTATGAGGAATTTCTTGAATTTAATCTAACCTTTATTTATCTAAACTTCTATTTACTTCTGTGGAAAAGAAAAATGGTCTGGATGTCACTTGGGCCCATAATCTTTTGGGACATTTTAATGTCCTTCCTTCACCCATTCAGAAGCACTTCTGCAGCCGGAGTGGTCCTTCAGAAGCACTCAGTTCTTCTAGAAAGGAAACACTTAAAATATAATTGCCTCTCCCTCCCAGCCCTAATTCATACAGCCAGAAAGTCAGGTTGAAGGATTTTGGAGGACTCTGCTCTTGAACTTTCTGCACGGACATCAGGACAACCAGTGCATGTTGACTAAGTGTGGCATTTGTCTGCAGGGCATATATACACGTACCCATCCTGTGTCTGATGCTGGTGCATGGATCATTTCTGTCTCTTTTGATCTCTTTCAGAGTACCCAGTACTATGACATGCGCTGGTCATGTGAACACCTCATTATGGTGTGGATCAATGCTTTTGTCATGCTTACCACACAGTTGCTGCCATCAAAATACTGTGATTTGCTACATAAATCAGCTGCTCACCTCGGCAAATGGCAGAAGCTAGAACATGGGTCCTACAGCAATGCTCCACAGCACATGTGAGTAGCTAGAGGGTAAAACCATGTAACACGTTTCTACATGCTGCTGATCATGTTTATTTGCTTTGTATGTCATTCTGTTCTTGGCTTTGAACATTTTTTAGTTTTTGTCTACATGGATGCTTGTCATCATTGCTAAACTGAATACAGGATACATTAACTCATTTCTACCACCATACCCAGCCCCTTCTCAAATGCGTCCTACCTTTCAGCTGCCCAGTCACTCTAGAGTGTATAATTTGTGCCCCAAGCAGTACTTCAGAGTTGTCTTTCAGTCTTAACTGTTTGCCCAAATTCAAAGAGTCATGATATATTTTAAATTCTTTTTATAAGATTTTTAAGGTTTATCTTCTCATTTTCATTGCCACAGCTAAGTTTATAGCTACTCATCTCACACCTAAGACAGCTGGACTTTGCTTTTCTCATCTTTTCTAATACATGCAGATTTGGATTAGTAATTTTTCCTGCCTGTAATTTTTTCTGTTTCTTTTTCTTTTTTTTTTTTTTCCTTCCTAATCTCTCTACTATTTCCCTGTCTCTCCTGTATTTCAGTGAAAACTGTCCCTGGCTGTGAGTTCTAAGTATTATTCTTATTGTGTCCCCTTATCAGACATTTCTCTGCATGGCCCCTGTGATCCAAAGTGGCTAACTTCAGAACTTTTTTTCTTTCACTTTTGAGTCCATCATCATGCCTATCTCTCAGACCCGGACCATCTGCATCTTCCTCCCTTGTGTAATTTGAACATTTCACAAATTTCATCCCCTACCAGTTTTTTCCTAATTAAGTGGGACAGATTGAGGTGACCTTCCCTTCCCCTCTCCCCCTCAGAGTTCTCCCTTCAATTATCTGCCTTGATGTCTGATACAGATTAGCACAGGCCTTCAAGCCCAGGAACTGAAAGAGATTGGGCCAGGCTGAAAAGAAACCCGACTGTGGGCAAAGGACAGATTTCAATAAAAATTGAAAATACAATCCACAGTACTAGTACTGTACATCTTCAGGCTACTGATGGCACATGGCCATGAGGTGTATCATCACTTTAATGCTGGTAAGTGTGAGCAAGGCTGGCGGAACATTTTCTGAACTGGGGAAGCTTCAGGGTGCTAGAATATATTTTTTAACATATCTAAACTGCTGCCCCAGTTCCAGTTCTTACTCTAGGAAACTAACCTTTCGAAAATCAGGAAGAAATGAATTAACTTAGGTTTGTTTTTTGTTTTTTTTTTTAATAAAGCTTAACCTGAAGATCCCCATCCCCATCCCAACTCCATTACATTGATGCTGAAAAGACTGAAGCTTTTTCTTCCCTAACTTCTTTTCCCTAGAGAAACCTCTGTAAAAATGAGTCCAGAAAGCAGTAAAAAGAAAACTCTGTGTCAGTACCTTGTGTGTGTCTTTGTTCTACTGTATAGCTTCTCACATCTTTGAGGTATTTGAATTATCTGATGAGCAAACTGATTTTCAGTAAGTTTTAGGGATGTAATTCTGGAGTGAATATCACATTAGTTTGACAGTGTGTTAATTTCTTCTCTGTTCTTGTTGCCATTGGCTTTCTCCTCTTGTTTGTTCCCTCTATCATGTCAACCAGTAGACTGTTCACTTGGGATGGAGACAGAAGTCCGCCTGCTTACATTCTATTTTCTGGCCCATGGATGCCTTACTGAAACAATTTTATCTGCTCATTCTGCTAAGCCTCTTAAGTCCTTCAACACTGAGTTAACTGTATTACTTTACAGTCTCTCTGACTACATAGCAATGAAGTTTACCATAACAGATCCTTTCTAACTCCTTCAAGTTTGACCATGGAATTACTATATTTTCAGAATTCAGACAGATGAAGCCTTGAAAATTTAATTCCTTTCATAGAAATATAATTGGCCTTGCTAGACACAGTCTTATTTGTAATTGTCAATATGCTAACATTGCATTTCTTTCTCCTTTAGTTGGTCAGAAAATACAATATGGCCTCAAGGGGTGCTGGTGCGGCATAGCAGATGTTTATATAGAGCCATGGGGCCTTACAACGTGGCAGTGCCTTCAGATGTATCCCATGCCCGTTTTTATGCAAGTACCATTTATTTATTTTTAAGCATAAGTTTAGGAGTAAGTGTTAGAAGGCCATTCTGTATGTATGCACATAGCACAGTGAGTAACACATACTAGGAATTTGAGGCATGATAATTTTTGCTGTAACTATAACAATGGCCCTGGGCCCATGGAGGTGTCTTCTGAAAAGCAGTTTGGAGGTCATATATCATTATTGTAGTCTCAATAGCTTGGGTGGTTTCTCTAGTTACATTGGAATTTATTAAATGTAATTTTGTGTCAAATAAGCTGTCCATTATATAAGACTTCCTTTTTCATCTTACAATTTTATTTTGTAATAGTTGGGTTTAGTGATGTCCTTAAGATATATTGTATCTGTGTGTATCTTTAAGTAATATTTAATATAGTAATAATGTAGTTTTTATTAATTTTTTTATTTGTCAGATATTTGTGTGTGTTATTTTTACTTTTTCTTCTCTTTAAAATACCTTAACTTACCCCTGTGGAAGTCAGACAAATGTTATGATCTATAGCCTTTTATCTTTACATGGATTCAAAAGAGAAAAGCTTCAAAGTTAGAAAAGGAAAAAGCAATCTATATCCACTGAACCCTGCTTCTTTCTCACTTGCACTTATGCATTGGATTATGTTTTATGTGGTCTTTAGTTTTCCAGAAATTCTGACTCTAGGAAGCAGCACTTACTTTTAAAGGAAAGGCCAGCTGGTGGCCAGTGGGAGTAGGGAAAAGAAGAGACCTGCTCAGGACTATTCTTAGTAAAAATGTCCGTAGTGCAGTGCATTGCCTTTAAGTAGAGATCATATCCTAAAATAGAATTGGAGATTTAAAAAAAAAAATTATACTTTTCTCCCTCAGTTCCTTGTGAGGATACATGGACTTTTTAGTTCTGCAGGTGTTTGTTACCAAGGGACCTTTCAATTACATACTGAGAACTTGCATGAGGGCAGGATATCTGTAAATATATGATGGGGAAAGAGGGCAGGTTCTTAGTTGGGAGGAGCATGGGGAAGTTAAAGTTCCTTGGATGAGGAGACCACAGTGGCTCCTTCTGAACTCCCATGAGCTTGTCTTAAGATGGGAACAGACTCAAGTCACAACTACATAAGTATTTGATTTCTCCACAGGATACTTATTTAATTTAGATGGCTGAGTTCCTTGGGGCATTAATGGCTTCTGTTCATCCTTGTTGTCCTCTTGAAAACTATAACAACAAAATATTTTTGTTAGAATTTTCTGCTTGAAAAATAAGTATTTTTCTTGCTAGTGTTGGACAGCTGAAGAATCAAGTAGAATCTATGGAAGAAAGATTAGGCAAGTTAATTAATTGCTGATTTTGACCAAATAGTGCTTCTAAAAGCAGTTGTTGAGCCACCTGTATATAAATGACCTGGCCGCTCTTGTTCCCGTCTCCTTTTCCCCCCAATACTAGGGGTAAAATCCAGGGCCTCATGCATGCTAGGCAAACACTGTATCACCAAGCTAATCCACAGACCCCCTTTTTTATTGTATTTCGTGAGAGGGTCTCACAGATTTATCCAGGCTGGCCTTAAACTTGTGATCCTCCTGCCTCAGCCTCCCAAGTAGCTGAGATTACAGGCTTGTACCACTGTGCTTGGCACCTGACTCACTCTTTTAAAGTAGTATTCAGTGCCTGTATCCCAGTCTTCTAAAGGATCTTAGGAATCTATAGCATTTTCATATTTGGAAATGGTTCTTAAGCAGATTGAAGTTTAAGAACACTCACTTTAAATGTGTCTATTACCAATAGCCTTTACCCTTTAAAACCTGTCTACCTTTCTCCTTATTCAGTTTGTAGGTTACTGGCATGTTTAATGACACACTTTGCTATGGAATCTGAAAATGTTTTTCTGAATCCTTATAGAAAATTATTGAGCCAGTTTTACGTATGATACTACTGAAGTATCATGTAGTAAACCCCAAGCTAAAGATTTTCTTTTTCCTGAAGAAGGGCCCTGAGACACTATGTACCTTTCAGAGGAGTCATGATAGTTTGGTCTTCATTCTCAGGTTTAAGTTCTTGAGGTCCAACTTCCTTCTAAATTAATTCTTTTAGATCTGAAATTAACTACCATTAATACAGTCTCTCCTCATCTAATAGGACTTGACTGGCTGAGCTGAATTGTTAGATAATGTTCCTTTGCAACCTGTGACCTAATGCCTTTTTATTAGTAAACCTGGATTTAGCTCCTTAGAGTGAAGAATTTGATGAGAGTGAAAATAGTAAGCCCAATGTGTAATCTTAACTCTGGTTCCAACTCATTTTTCCTTCCTTCCTCTTTGCTTTGTCTTTTTGCACTCTATTTCTCAAAATTGAGAAAAAAATAAATAGTAGAAGCATATGTTTTATAAAAGATTTCAGTAAGTGACCATCGTGAGTAAAGAGTTTAAGGAAAAATAAAAAAACTATGGTGTTGATATTATAATACTTTCCTAAACTTATAATACTTCCCTCTTTCTAGGTACTTGTCTAGTGTGAGTATTTGGTCTTAGATTATCCCACAAGCTAAGAATAGCTTTTATATATTTATCTATTTTATTTAAAAATTTCTTGTAGTACTGAGGATTGAACCCAGGGCCTTACACATGCTAGGCAAGCACTCTACTACCAAGCTACATACATCCTTAACCCTAGTTTTCACATTTTTAAATGGTTACATTTTAATCAGTTATAATCCTACATTATATCCTCAATATCTTCATTACATATTGATTTTCAAAGTGTGAAATATTTCCCATTTGTTGCTTTATTCCACCCTGTCTTGGATAAATATACTTGTTCTTTTGGACATACATATCCCTCTTTTTATGTCCCAGGGCAAACAGATGTATTTTTTATTGTGTGTAAGAACTCATAAATACGAAATTACTTTGGAAAAATGAATTCAAGAATAACTTGAGTCTTTCCTATGAAATAACATTGTGTTTTTTAACTTCCTTACAGTTCCTGTTTCATCGTCCATTAAGGCTGTTAAATCTACTAATCCTTATTGAGGGCAGTGTTGTCTTCTACCAGCTCTATTCCTTGCTGCGGTCGGAGAAGTGGAATCACACACTTTCCATGGCTCTCATCCTCTTCTGCAACTACTATGTTTTATTTAAGCTCCTTCGGGACAGAATAGTATTAGGCAGGGCGTACTCCTACCCACTCAGCAGTTATGAACTTAAGGCAAACTAAGCTGTCTCTCAACAGCGAGGGAGAACTCAGATAAAAATATTTTCATACGTTCTATTTTTTTCTTGCGATTTTTATAAATATTTAAGATATTTTATATTTTGTATACTATTATGTTTTGAAAGTCGGGAAGGGTAAGGGATATTAAATGTATCCATAAACAAGGTGATGTGATCTTTCATGTGTTAGTACATTTGAATAATACACGTGTGAGAGGTATGCCTCTCTAGTAAAAAGATTGATTTGTTTGTATGACTCTTGAATAACTCTTTCATTTTGAACAATTTCATGTATCACTTGGTGTGATATGGTACCTTTGTGTGTCTGCTTTCCTTCCAGTCCTTTTCATTATCTTTAGTTCTCAGCTGGCCAGTAATTACTACAGAAAGGGGGATGAGTAGAGTTGCCTTCTAGCACCAATTTCTTTAAATTTAGATGGTTAATATTACTAGAAAAACTACAAAAGAGAGTAGGTTCAGGTCTTGGGTGGGGTTCTCTTTGTTGCCCTTCTGAGATGGGGTTTTAGCTGATTTATTCTAACCTGCGATATTTCAAGATATTTTTGAATCAGCTATTCCAAGACTCAGGGTTTTGCTGTCACTTTTCCTGTTTTTTCACTTCTTTTGCTTCCAAAGATTTTCCTTTTACTTGTTTGAAATAATACTTTTAAAATCTAGATTTTATAGAGTGTCCATATTCATGAAGGAGATGATAAATGTAAATGTCATGTATTCTAGAGTATGGGCAAATTGAAAATACCAGGTGATTGGAAGAATGGGCTAGTCCTCAGCTAAACAGTCTTGGATGTTTGGAGTTATGAAGGGAAGTGAAATACAAGAAGTTACTAATTTGTCCTCAGAGAATTTGATCTATATCCAAAATATATATTTTGAATTTCGTACTCCAAAGTTGGGGATGTAGCTCAGTGGTGGAGTTCTTGTCTAGCATGCATAAGGCCCTGGGTTCAATCCCACACTGCAAAATTAAAAAAAAAAAAAAAAAAAAAAAGAATGAATGAATAAATTAATAAATAAATGTACTGCAGAACTTTCATGTTTGTGCGCATTAACCCTTTAAGTTAATACCTCCCACATTTTTTGGCAGGTGATATGCTTAGTCCATTGATATTTTCACTAGACATTTAAACTTCTGAGGCCTTGTTTTGGAAACCTAAAATAGCATGTCATGTGTTTTCTGTGTTGGTTTTTTTTTTTTCCACACTGATGCTTTTTGTGATACAAAATAAGTCAAAGTAAAAATATCAATCATGAGTTCATAATCTGGCTCTAAAAACAATCCTTGCAGCGTTCTCAAAAGATTTTCAGCAAAGGAAATAATTTAAGGAGTAATTTATCTATATAACTACTCAAGGTAACTTTTATGTCTAACCATGTCTTCCTTAAACATTTTGGTCTGCTTTTTAAAGTTAAAATTATTTGGCATTTAGTCTGAGTCTGTTCAACCATTCAACAAATATTTATTAAACACCAGACACTCTTATTTGGCATTTGGGCTATAACAGTGAATAAGAAATACAAAGGCCCTACCCTCACAGAAGTCACAGGGTATGCGGAGTAGATCATTTGGTAAGTTTATGTGCAGTGTTTCCTGGTAGCAGTGATAAGTATAGTAAAGAGAAAACAATCAGGCAAGGAAATAGGAAGTGATAGGAATGGTACTATAAGAAAGCATCTTTGAGATGATTTTTGAGCAAATGTTGGACAAAGCAAGACATATAAATAGTTTCGGTGACAATTTCATGTTATAGTAGCAGTTAGGGCAGTGGCCTCAGGTAGGAATGTTAGTACATTGGAAGAATAAGAAGAAAACCATTGTATTAGGTTGTTTGCTGTTTAAATTGATTCAGCCTAAATGCGATTCAAGGGGCAGGAAAAGAAGGGCAGGAAAGCTACCATTTCAATGTGCTTTCCTTAGGATCTTGAGGATGTGTTTCTCTTGGTTTACAATTTGATGAAGTTAGTTCATAAAAGCAAAATGGGTGGTATGGGCAGATATATATCATGGAAAAGGCCCCATCTTGGTTCTAGCATTTACGATTTAGCCAGATAACACTAGTTAGAGACAGTAAACAAGTCTTGTAAATTAACATGATTGCCCCTCTGGCTTGATCTGTCTTTCTCAAATCCTAAAGGAGTAGCCCAAGAGGACCAGATGCTAGGCTGGCTGAGTGAGTAGATATAAGAAGTAAATTAGCTTTGGCTAATGGAATTGAAAAATCCACCTTGCTCTCACCTCCAGATATGTCAGCATCAGGGGAATAAAAATCCTTTAGTTCAGTGTGCTCTTACACATTCCAACTGTTCTTTGTAGGTATCTTATTACAATACAGATCACGTGAGACAAGGGACACCATTTTTTGCTCAGTGATGGTAGAAAATTAAATAATGCCTTTTAAAAATATATGTTTGTACATTAAAAGATGTATGGAAGGAAATGTGTGGCAAATAATCAGTTGGGTAAATTTGGGGTACGAGAATGGGAAAGAAAATGCTGGCCAGTTTTCTTTGTAGCCTAAGGTGGATAAACGTCTTGGGAGTAGAGGAGGGTAGTACACAGGAATGAGCATGATAGAAATGTTCCTGGATGTCCTCTTTGCTCTGATTCTGTTTATATTCCCTAAGCCACTTTCCCCTCCCTATTAGTTGCCTCCACCACTGCTGCCTTTCCCCCTCATTTCTATTTACTGGACAGTTTTGTGCCAGACTATACTGATTCTTAGTCACAGTGGTGTTCCAAGTTTATTAACTAATAGAAGGCAGGCATTAATCAGTTGTCACACAAGGGTGTTCCATAGTAGAAGTAACTATGAGATAATAGTGGTGCTACAGAGAAGGGAGTGAGTATCCTTTTCTTGTGCAGGTGAGAGCCATTTGCAGTTTCAGGCAGGGCTTTCAAAGTGGCACACAGGTGCTTTTTGGAAAAAGCATAAGGAGTGTACCACAGATGAAAAAGGGAGAGGTGAAAACAGTGAGCACAGAATATACAAAGGTCTAAGGTGTGGGCCAGAACTAGGTATTTAACTAGTTCAGTAATGCTAGGCACAAAATAAATTACAGAAGGACTTGAATTCCACATTAAAGAGTTTGAATTGTTATTATTTTGTAGGCTGCCAATTCTCAAAGAGATTCCCTGGACACTGCATCAGATCTGCTAAGTCAGAATCTTGAGAGTAAAGTCCAGTAATATTGACTTTTTACAAGCACTGCAAGTAATTCTTAGGCAGACAGAATCTGGTACCGTTTTTTAAAACTGTTTTTAAGTTATACATGGAAACAATATATTTATTTTTATGTGGTACTGAGGATCAAACCCAGTGCTTCACATGTGTGAAGCAAGCGCTCTGCCACTGAGCCACAACCCCAGCCCGCTGGTGAGCTTTATAGCCAGAAGACACCTAATGCAAGATTTTAAGTTAAGGAATAACATAAGGTCCAAATGGTTCTCAAATTAGGGGTCTCAAAGTGTAATCAATCTCCAAACCAGAAGTATCAGCATCACCTAATTGGGATTTGATTGGAATGGAAAATTTCAACCTCTAAATCAACTTGAGTTGGAATTTCTAGGTAGAGCCTAGTGGTCTTTCTAGGTGATTTTGAATTGTACTAAGGTTTGAAAATCACTATCTTTAGATGACTTTGGCATTAGTATATATGATAGATTTGGAGAATGGGGTCAATGTCACTGAGACTTAACTCAGGAAGAACAGTTAGCCAGCCATTTCAGAAGTCCATGAAAGAGAAAAGGACGAGAATGGCTCATCAGTGTGTTGAGTGGTGGAAGCAGCCTTAGGCCTAAATAAGATGGTCTAGAGAAAGAATATGAAGTGAAGAGAAGGAAGGACAGATTTCTGATGAATAATATTTAAGGATAGAAGAAGACTTCAAGTGAACAAGAATAAAAAATAGATGGCCAAGAAAGGAGGCAAATTAGGAAGAGCTTCAAAAAAGGAATGATCAACAATATCAAGTAACAGGGAAGTTGAGAACTTGAGAAGTGACTGTTGGATTTGGTTATTAGACTATTGGTGACTTTAGCAAGATAAACTTTAATAGAATAAGATGTGGATGCAGCTCAGTGGTAGAGCACTTGTCTAGCTAAGTGCAAGGCCCTGAGTTCAATCTTCAGTAGCACACACAGATTTAGTAGAGAAATGAATGTGAAAGTCATGTTTGTATTGGTCTAGAGGAATAAATGAGAATGAAGCAGATGCTGAAGGTTGAGGAAGTTTCAAGGAACATGGATACAGGTGATAAAATTGAGGAAGATATTTAAGATAGAAGAGACTTTAGTATGTGTATGTGTTGAAGGACATAAGTCCAAAGGAGAGGCTGAATATATAGGAGAGAATAATGGGAGGATACTGAGGCATAGGAGCTTTGGGAAGAGGGACAGCACTTCCTCTTAAGTAAAGAGAGCTTAGGTGCATACATATATGACTAAGGGGAAATAACAGTGGGAAATTGAAGAAAGACATCTGATATCATGAACTTGTGAAGGAATCCTTTGGAGGGACAAGTCATGTAGGAGAGGGTAAGAATAGAGGGTTTGGGGAATTAGGTCATTCCTGGGGTAGGGGACCATAAATATTGAAAGGCTTTCACACTGTGATTTCATTATTTTCTCTGCTCTAATCCACAGACACAGTAAAGAGCAGAGAAGGTGGGTGGTAAAATCCCAGATCCCTCATGGGAAGTTTTCCAAGCAGGTATAGCTAAAGGACTTTTTAAGAGAGTTGATGGTCTTGGCGGGAAGAGTTGAGATGATGCACCTGGAGATCTAGAAAGGTTAAGGGAAGAAATATGAAGTCTGATGAGTGTGCTGTCAGAGTAGGAGTGGGCAAGGCATTGGTAAGTTGTATAAATGGAAGGAATAAAGTAGCAAGATTTTTTTTTTTTTTGGTTTCTTGTTTGTTTTTGTGGTGCTGGGGATGGAACTCGGCCTCTCATGTGCTAGGTAAATGCTCTGCCGCTGAACTAAACCCTTGGTGGGAAGTGAGAATTTAGGATCACAAAGTTCTGGGCTGTGAAACAATCTGATGTAATTTTTGTGTTGGTCTAGAGGAATGAATGAGAATGAAGCAGATGCTGAAGGTTGAGGAATTTTCTCCCTGCTCCCTGAATACCACCTTTTCTGTGACAACATATGCCAGGAGATTATATTTGCTTCCTGTCCCCTAAGCATCATTAACATCATTCAAATAAAAGAATAGTCCTTCTTGACTTGTTCAAGTAATA